CGGACTCGATGATCTATTGAGGTCCCTTCCGACCCTAACATCTATGAATCTATGAGGCAAAACTGTCCTGCGTCAGAAACAGCTCAAAGTGAGAAAGGAGGAATATTCATTCAGAGAGAGATGCCTTGCTGGAATGTAAAGGTTTTAGCAGCAGCTGATAATGCTAACATGGCTTTTTCTGTTGGCCGGTCGTAGAACACAATAAGGGATTACATTATGCCAGCACACCCCTGTCCCATTCACTCACTTCAATGTTTTGTCAGTTCAGCAGCTTCATTTGAGCAATAACCCTTCTTCTGAAACAAGACTTAAAATCCTGGTCTTATAGGGATTAAGTCTGTCAGTCTTGGTTAAGTGTTTAGTGGATGGCCTTTTATCACAAAAGTCAGGAGGAAAAAAATATAATCCACCCTCCCCAATGACTTCAAGAAATACCTTCACTTATGACTTAGGGAAAAATTATGTCAGCACCAAGAGGAAGATCAGGGAAAGTGTGGGTCCCTTACTGAATGGGGGAGGCAACCGAGTGACAGATGATGCAGAGAAGGCTGAAGTCATGCTTTTTTTTTTACTGGGTCTTCACAGGCATCATCAGCTTCCAGACTACTGCACCGGGCAACACATTTTGGGCAGGAGGTGAGCAGCCAACAGTGGTGAAAGAACAGGTTAGGGACTAGTTAGAAAAGCTGGACGTGTACAAGTCTGTGGGGCCAGATACAATGCACCTGAGGGTGCTACAGGAGTTAGCTGATGTGCTTGGCGAGTCGCTGGCCATCCCCTTTAAAAACTCATGGCAGTCAGGAGAGGTCCTGGATGACTGGAAAAGGGCAAATACAGTACTCATCTTTAAGAAAGGGAAGAGGGGTCCAGGAAACTACGGACTGGTCAGCCTCACCTCACTCCTTGGAAAAATCATGGAGGTCCTCAAGGAATTCATTTCTAAGCATTTGGAGAAGGTGATTAGGAACAGTCAGCATGGATTCACCAAGGGCAAGTCATGCCTGACCAACCCGATTGCCTTCTATGATGAAATAACTGATTCTGTGGATGTGGGGAAAGCAGTGGATATAATATACCTTGACTTTAGCAAGACAAGGTTCCTTGGGTGAATTTGATATCTTTTATTAGACCAACCCAAATGGTTGGAGAATAGTTATTAAGCAAGCTTTCGGGTTCAAAAACCCTTCGTCAGGCTCAGGAAGGGAAAACAGTGGAAATGATATACCTTGACTTTAATAAGGCTTTTGATACGGTTTCCCACAACATTCTTTCAGGCAAGTTAAGGAAGTATGAGATGGATGAATGGACTATAAATTGGATGGAAAACTGGCTGGATTGTCAGGCTCAAAGGGTAGCAATCAATGGCTCGATGTCTAGTTGGCAGCCA